GGGAAGAAAGGGGGAGGGGAGGATTTAGGGCAAGGGAATAAGCTAGCCCCACGACGTCGTTTTGCCAGCGCGTTTTAAGTTAAGCGCTGGCAAACGGCGTTGTAAATGCGTTTCGTTGTTTCGTCGTGTTTTATGCGACGAAAAATATTTCATCGCTTGTTTTCGTCGCTGAAGGGCAGAATTGTTGTAGTGACTTTATCAAGCTACAAGCCGAAGAACTTCGTCAAGTTATAAGTCGAAAACTTGATTAAGCTACAAATCGAAGAACTTCGTCAAGCTACAAGTGGGAGAATTTCAACAAGTCGAAGAACTTCATCAAGCTACAAGCCTAAAAAACTTTATCAAAAGCCTAAGATATTCACAAGCTCTCAAAGTCGAAGACTTCAAAGATTCTTCAACAAGATAGAAGCTGAAGACACCAATCTTCTTGATACGGGAACAAGCTCATTAGCATTCAAATAATCCAATTTAAGAATTACATATTATAGATTGTAACACCTATACATAAATACAAATACAAGTTTATTTATTTCAAATTTTTCTTCTCAGGAATTCCTCACGAGCAGGTAGATGCAAAAAAAATAAAAAATAAAAAATAAAAAATACACGGGTACGGTAAAAGTAGTGTTTACAAGTTTATTTTTATTTTTATTTTTTGATTATCCAAAAGTCGACGACCCTTTGATCTCTTTGCCCCTATACCTGAGGTTATGCGCACTGTACCATAGTTTACAAGTTCAATTTAAAAAAATAGATAATCGAAAAAACGAAATAGTTATCAAATAATACCTAATTAATTTTTTTTATTGGAGTTCATAATCTATACAAGTCCAACAGCTAGGGAAAATCATTTATGATTTGAAATAAAATTTTGAACTGATTTGATGTATTAGATCCACTAAATAATATACAATATATTTAATGAATGGAGCAAGATCTTTAATGAATGGAGCAACTTTTGAACAAAATCACTTCTCACAAACACAAACTAGCAAAACTTACCAAAGAAAATTATTTAAATATATGCAAATGATCAATCAAACTTTTGAAGGTGTTTGTTTTGTTTCTTCACTTGAATGATTGGTTGCCATCAAGCAACAAAATAGTCAAAATGGAAGAAGCCATTTTGGATGCAATCTTCAGACTCAAACTTCCTTTGCTGTGTAGTTGAATCATCAACTCCATTTGATATCAAGCCTCCAGCTTCAGCTTCTACTTCCAAGTTGACGTTGTTAAATGGCAGCATATTGACGTCCGCTGCAGGCGGAAACTGGACGTGGCTCGGGAGTGAATAGAAAGACGATGGAGCGGGGGTGGCTGCATCGAATGTAATCGGCCGATAGATATGTGTAGCTGTTTGTGTGGTGATCTCGTCTCGCTTGCTCTGGGGAAAAACTCTGCAGAGAACCCAGTCCGCCTGTAGGTGTTCAATAATTTAGACGGGAAAGTAGTATCTAAAAAACCATCACAATACAGTAAAAATAGAAGCCATCAAACTTCTTATTATTATGACTATAGATAATAAGTGATGATTATGATTATTGTTCAGATTTCAACATCTATTTATGTACAATTATTAAAGATAATCCGTGGTTAATAATTTGTTTTCTAAAAAAACTATAATTGAAATTGTTTTTAGAAAATGTTTATTTGTAACTATTTTTATAAAAATACAAAGTCGTTGCAAATATTTTTGAAAATGAAAGTACATTCGAAGTTTCCATTATATATATTGTAAAATAAAGTTAAGATTACCATAAAGAAAAGGATAACCAATATTTTCAAAAGTAGATTGTTACTAACGCAAAATAATAATAATAATAATAAATAAATAAATAAAAATAAAAATAATTTCTCTTCTGATAAGCCTCTCGTTTTTTATTTTATGTTTTTGAAAATTATGTTTGTTTTTTAAAAATTAACAAATTCTTCACCTCTCTTTATACACGCATTTGAAATTTTAGTAAATATTTAAATACAAAACCAGTCTTAAAAAGTCATTTTTCCTCCCAAATTTAAGCCGATATGTTTTAAATATTCATAAAAACTATATAACAAAATACAAATGAACACCGGGTGGTAAAATATTGTTTCTAAACTTAATTTCTAAAAACAGGAAAGAAAAAAGAGATAGGTAGACCTTTGGGGACATATGCGGAGTCTGAATGCGAAATTCATGCATAATCCAACCAGTTTTGATCCCATTAGGAGCCCTTTTTCTGTAAAATACCAAAGTCTTTCTCATCCCCATCACCTCACTTGTCTTTGGATTCATCACTGTCCGATCTTTTCCGGTCGCTTTCCAGTATCCACCGATTGTTGCACGGTTCGCCCTCACTCCCGTTGCGTATTTTCGATCTTGAAAACTGAAGAAGTACCACTCGTTTCTGTTCAATTTAGCCACCTCTACACTCCATCAAAATGAATTAGGATCAAGAGAGAGAATTCGAACACAAGACCTCTCAGATTGATATTGTATTTGAACTCAAAAGCATAAACTAATACTTTTACGGTAAAATTTAATCTCTTATATGTATTTTTAACACTCTTGTTACATGTGGACTTGAATATTCATTTGAATTACTAAGTTGAGCATGTTAACTATTAGTATCAACATAGAAAAAAAATATAACATTACAATGAAACCTGCTCTTATAGAATACCAAACTACTATAGTAACACTATAGGACATGTTTGAAAATGATTTTAAAATTAATGATTTTAGTAGAATAGATTTAAAGACAAGTGATTATGTGGGAGTGATTTTTAATTTATATAATTATTTTAATGTTTGGTTATACACCTTTCAAAAGTGTTGATATAGTTAAAAGTGATTTGAATGATTAAATGTTTGATTTCAAAATTTATTTTAGTATCATCAAATTAACAACATATGTTTGAGAAATTATTTATCACTGTTTATTAAGTAATTAAGATGAAAAAACATGATAGATATATATATATATATATCATGTTTTTTCATATATATATATATATATATAAGTAAATAATTAATTTCAATAAAAAGTTAGATAGGGATTACAAAAGTTTTAGAGAGAAAAAAATTAGAGGGAACAAAAAAAAATAAAAAATAAATAGGGAGAGAGAGGCAGAAATTTGACGTTGGAAAAAAAAATAATTTTTCTAAAAAATTAAGGCGAAAATAGAAGCTTAAATAGGACCCTTCTGAAATTTAAAACAATAACCACTTTAAAACTAAATTCCTATTAAGTTTTTGATCTAGAAATACTTGGAGAATCACCTCCTAGATTATTGGTTGAGAATCATTAAAGTAATTTTTATYTTTTCAAAATTACTCCTAAACTATTAACAAACATTTATATTTTAAAATAGAKTTTTACTAGTAAAAATGATTCTAGCTCCCTCAAAATTCTAAATTAAACAATGAAAAGTGATTTTGAAATGTTTTAATTTTAAGATGTGTACATATATTTTTTTTCCTCCAAACATCCCAGATTCACTATTTATATATATATATATATATATATATATTTCCTCCAAAACATCTCAAATTCACTATTCATACTTTATTTACATATATATGTATGTATATATATTTTTTTATTATCCAAGAGTCGACGATCCTTTAACTTTTTTGTCCTTATATCTGGAGTATGGGTACTTATCCTGATACCCGTACATACCCAAAGACTTTATATACTTCAATAATTCCTATGTAAGTTATCCCTCGCCCTTATCCTAGTTTTGGTTTACATCAATTATGCATGAGAGAGAAGAAAGTTCACTATTCAAGATATCCTTCACCCTTATCCAATTTTCAACAATTTTACATAATTTAGTCAYAAGGGATAGAAAGTTTCTCTTCAAGTTATATCGTAATTTTGCTCCACAATAGTTGGGTAGTCTACTCGTTGAGATCTCAGGTTTAAATTCTCACCTCTCATATTGTTAATAATCGTTCGTTATAAATGAGATACTCTTCTCAATGTCAGGAAACCTCATAATATTAATATGGTATGAGAGCTCAAAAGATCAAACAAGCATTCGGTCCAAAAATGAGATTCAACGAACCTCAAAGAGGCGCCATCTTAAAAGGGCATGTTAAAGATCCTTATAAATGGACTACTCATCTCCTTACTAATTGATTTTGAGACGACATTCCATAGATATTAATACACATTTATTTTATTCAGAAAAATGAGTGAGAGAGAATTCTATTGTAATTTTACCCTCTATCTTATACTATGTTCTTTTGACAATTTTTTTGCAAACATAAGAGTTAAATTTGAAAATTTGTTCGATCTTTCCTAATTCCTTAAAATAACTTTCACATCTAACAAGAAGTTAAAATGATGAGAAGTCAATCAAAAACGACTTCGACAATAATGCAACGGATGAATTATATATAAAAGTATCAAATGTAACAAATTATAACCAACATAAAGAAACAAAAGTAAGTAACAATAATATCTTAAAAAATATTCGAGTCTCATCAAAGTTGTTATTATTTAAAATATATATATATATCTCTTTGGAAAAATCATTGGATTGTTGAAAAATGAGGGTGGTTTTGAGAAAGAGAGAACAAAAGATTTTTTTTCTTCTTTTTAATACAATATATGGAGCGGGAGACTCGAATTCACGACCTTATAATTAAATATAGGTATTTTAACATGTTGAACGGTTAACAAGATTGATGATTATTTTGATGTAGCTGGGAAAATAGTACGTACTCAATGATGGTGGTGTGGAAAAATAAGGAATCAGATTGAAATGGGCAATTTAATAGGTCAAATACTGAATTATAGAATCTCTAGAAAGCATCCTTATCAAATAATAATTTTTATAGTACTACCATAAATATAAAATTACCTATACAATTATTGTTTCTCTAGTTATGTTTTTAATTTTTTGGTTTCGGTCTCACTTTGGGGTCGTGAATTTAATTCTTAGGTTTGTTTTTTTTTTAATACAACATATAGGATGGACGATGGAACTCACAATCTCTTAGTTTGAGATATATGTCAATTATCGCTGAGCTATGCTCGCTTTGGCTAAGTTTGTTCGATTTTAGTCCTTACACCTGTAAAATTATTATTTGATGTTGCATTTCACTACTATTTCATTTTCAAATTTATGTTTTTTAAAATTATGCTGGCTTCCTTGGTATTTTTTCTCATATTTTCTAAAAACAATATTTGAGATTTTAGCTAAATTTCAAAAACTAAAAGAAAGACTTTTTTTTTCTTTTTGGTTTTTAAATCTTAGCTTGGATTGTAAAAATGTTTTAAAAAATAAAAATGTTGGTGATCTGAAAATAGAAATCTGAAAACAATGAGTTTAATGAAAAATAGAATTGTATTCTATTTTTTAATATTTTCATATATGTGTTTGGTTGTAGATTTGAAAATGAAATCTCAAATTAAAAAATTGTTTAAGGTATTTAGTATTATATTTGTAAACTAGTGATAATTACCAACTAAATATTTACCTAAATCTACAATAATATTAATTTATTTATTATCATATATATATATATATTATAAATTTTGTAGAATTGATGTAATTTATAATATATTATATTTTTTAATTTTTTAATTTTTTAAAAAATGAAACGGATTTAGAACATGAAATATTATATTTATCAGAGTTTTTATATTTTTCAAATGTAATTATGTATTTTAAAGTTTCAAATCAAAATTTAAAAATAGTGAAAACATAAAAAGTGATATTTTTAGAATTTATACTATTTGGATCAAAAATCCGAAAATAGCTCAAAAACAAATATTTCAAACCAATATTCATTGAGTTCACGTCATTGACTAGATATAAAAACAAGAAACAGAATCCAGATTGCATAACAAATATTGGCTAAATAACCTAACAAATGAACACTTTTTATTTATGGTAAGTATTTGACCTATTTGAAGGTTTAGAAACCAATATAAAATAAGCATGAAAATAATAAAAAAGAAATTGAGGAGTATGTAATAGTTTTAAACTTATTTTTTATTTAGTGGATTTCATTTTTTTTTTATTTTTTAAACAATGATGATATAGATAAATATAAAATAGTAATATGAGATTAGATGGCCAAATTTTCCATGCCAAGCCCTAATTTTATGGAGCTTCATCAACAAGCTATATTTTAACTGGTTGGCCAAGTAATAACTGGACAACTTCGAAATATAGCTTTTGAAATAGTGAAAATTATTTTTAATAGATTAAAATAAATAAATAAAAAGAAACGCTGGGTCTTTGCGTTTTTACTAAAGTAACAGTGAAAATTATTTTTAATAAATTAAAGTTAAAAAAGAAAAGCTATGGATCTATGCACTTTCACTAAAGTAATAATTTAGTCAAACTTTCGTATCTTTATACAGTTCTCGTAATCTAATAAACTTTAATATATAACAATTTGGTCTTTATATTTTAAAAATTGTAACGATTCCATCTATAAAATGAAATATTTTCATCAATTTGTGAATTATCAATTTAGCTCCTATAAAAACATATTTGGTTAGAGTGATTTAATTCTACATATAAGCCAAAAATTTTCATTACATTTGAACTATAGAGACTAAATTGTTAGAAATTTTAAATTAGGACTAAAATTTTACCTCTTAAAATTCTAACAACTAAATCACTACAAATTTTAAGGGACAAGAATTACTAAAATGGCTGCATATTAAATATCAATCCCTTCAAGGCCAAATGTGTTTCTAAGCTAAACAAAAAGTAAATTAAATTTTTTTTTTATATTATTTATTTAAACATGATAAAAAATGTTTCCAAAGGAAACACTTAATTAATACTTCATGAAAAAGTGTGTTAGCTTAAAGGCACTATTTTGAAACTTCGTCTCGAGTTCAACTACGTGTAAACTTACAATTGCAGAGTGAGAGAGCGAAAAAGGTGACATACCAGGAAGCTGCCATGGCTCACAAGTATGCAAGTTAATCTCGACCAACGTCCCCCTCAAAGCCTCTTCATTTGTGATCTTTTTGTACAAATAATGGCACACCAATTCCTCATCGCTCGGATAAAACCTAAACCCGGGAGGAAGAGTTGCTCCGATGTCTCGTAGACCCATTTCTGTAATTTCACTGGATCGATATATTATTTTTTCTATTTCTCAAAGAATACACCTGAAAATAAAAAAATGAAAGATAAATCTTAAACCTCAGATGTTTTGAAGACAAATTTTGTGTCCAAAGAATAATTGAGTTTATTTGCTTAAAGTAGTTCTATTTATATATGTAGGGAGGATAATTATAAGAGAGGGAAAGAGAGAAGTTGGCATGAAATTTCATAAGAGCCGTGTTTGGGAAGAAATTTGGTTAAAATACGAAGCTCCAAGAAAAACCAATGGTATACGAAATTCCTTTTCACAAGAGAAACGTCTACTTCAAGCATAAAGAAAATTGTGGATAAAACTCCAAGATTGACTATATACAGATATTTTATGTAATACTAATGTGAATCAGTTGTCGAACTTTGTTCCTATTGACTTGCATTAAAACATTCTAAGTGATGATGTTACCTTTCATAATTATATCTGTTGATGTCGATTTCTGGGCAAGTGTCGTCGCGTGAGTGTTACGTCGGTGCTACGAACACGGTCGTCTCCAAGGTCTTGATTGCGTACACACAAAAATCTAGCATGGGTGTAGTGCTCTGCTGAATGAGATGACCAAGCGAGGTGCTACTCACGACCAAACTTTTTCTTTACTTACTTGGGACGTTACTACATATTTGCCAATGACATTTTTTTTCTTAATACAAGTGTAGATAATGCGATTCGAACTTGATCATGACCTCTTGGTTAGAGACAGACACCAATTACTCTTGGCACATACTAATGGCATTTAAAAGTCGAGAACAAAATATATTTTCATAGTATAATTTTATGAAATAATTAAAAACTTCTATTTTGGATCCCATAATAATAATAATAAATTTAAATTTATTATTATTATTATTATTATTATTATTATTATTATTTAGAGTGGCAAAGTTCTAAAATAAAAACATGGAAACTAATAAAAACCAAACTCATGCACAACCGACTGATAGCCTATCAGGTGCCTTCGCTTGACTTGTACACTTTTAGTGTGTGTTCAAGAATGAGGGTTGTTTGGAGTGAAAATCGTTATGCCACGTGGAAGACAAACATACGCCCACGTCAGCTTATACAAACTAGGTCCACCTCGAACGAGGTGGAACACTTAGTCAATTTTCTACCTTGATAATCATGCAGGTGGCATGATCTACTCCAAAGGTCGACATATCGAGCCCAACATGTCCGACCTATCGATAATTGCCAATCGAAAGGTCTGTCACATCCCCAACCAATAAATTGAGGGCACCATTTTTACACAAGGTATCGACTTTCTCCTCAAATTTTATATTGAGTTCGAGCTGTTAACTAACTTGAACATCGGTGAGTTTGCCCCTCTCATGCAGGTCATCCATCGGCATATCCACTCAGTTCTGACCAGGTCTGACCTCATTCCATTTTTTGCATAAACATTTGGCGCCGTCTGTGGGGAAGGACATTCGAAGTCATTCCTACCTCCGAGAACTAAAATGGTACATCCTATTGTATCTACTAGTTCGAGCCACCCAAGTCGTTGCAATGATAATGGTGACCCTGGCCTCCTGCATGAGGTGGATCTCGATGATATGCGCACTAGGGTGCGCACTATGGAGTAGTCATATAACAATCTGGAACAGGTCCCAATTTCGGAACCTAGAAGAGGAAGACGAGCAATACTTCGAAGGAGAGACCCGATATCCGCCACTACATCTTGAAAATAACGATCACCCTATTGACAATGAAGGTGATTAAATTCATTTGACATACAAGTCGAAGCTCTATCATGAAGCCATATGTATTAATATTCATGGGCTTCCATCTCAAAGCCAATTGGCAATGAGAGGAGTAGCCCATGTTTATTATAAACCATTGTTAGGTCCATTTTCTTTTCAACGTGGGATCCTTAACATGCCCCCTCAAGATCGTGGCTCTTTTGGCTCATCGATCTTGGCCGGATTCCATTTTTGGACCGGTTGCTCTTTTGAGCGTTTTGGGCTTTGATACCATAAGAAAAATGATGAATCCTTGATTGATTTACAAAAGAAGATGCATCACAGCATGTTGCTCCACATTCTACTTTTTTTGCTATTTCTACTCAAAATAAGGTTGATTACACTGTATGGCATAGAAGAATTGGTCACATTAATGAAGTTGCTTTAAAAACTTTTTGCAATCAACACATGATCCATGTATTAAATTGGAAAAAGGAAAACATTATTTGCTCTAGTTGTCAAATGAGTAAAAGTTGCAAGCTACCTTTTAGCTCTAATGTTGAACTAAGTTTATGTCCTCTTAATAAAGTTCATTGTGATTTGTGGGGTCCTGCTCCTATTATTTCATGTCAAGGCTTTAAATATTATGTGAGTTTTGTGGATGACTACTCTAGGTTCACTTGGATATATCCCTTGAAGAAGAAATCTGATTTATATGCTTGCTTCTCTAAGTTTCAAAGGTTAGTTGAAAATCAATTTGAAAGAAAGATTAAAGTGTTACAATATGATGGAGGAGGTGAGTTCATGTCCCTTAATCTCAAAACTCTTTTAGAACAAAGTAATTAAACACCAAATGTCATGTCCTCACACACCACAACAAAATGGTGTTGCGGAAAGAAAACATAGACATATTGTAGAAACTGGTTTGGCCATACTTTTTCAATCTAGTGTTCTCATGAAGTATTAGGTAGATGCATTTCTTACTGCTACTTTCTTGATAAATAGAATGCCATCAAATGTTTTAGGAATGAGCACACCCTTTGAAAAGTTATATCAAAAGAAACCTAGTTACAATAATCTAAAGATTTTTTGTTGTAGATGCTTTCCATACTTAAGAAATTACACCAAAGATAAATTTTCCAAAAGAACTTATCTTTGTGTGTTTATTGGATATAGTCCTATACATAAAGGATATAGATGTCTTGATCCTAGAACAAGTAGAGTGTATATCTCAAGGCATGTTGTGTTTGATGAACAATTATTTACATTTTGCCAAAGCTCTCTGTCAACTACTAACATCTCCCAAAGCCTAGATGTGACTGTGTTTGCAGATGAAGAAAGATGGAACATGCCTAGCTCCAGCACACTAAACTCGTATGATAGAGCAATGATGGAACAATCCTTTAACACAAAATACACCTTTGAAAATCACATCAGAAATAGATATGATGATCTGAGCAATCCAAGAACTAATATTGAAGAGCCGATTGACTACTCCTCCACTCAAACTCCCATAAATCAAGAGTCTATAAGGGTGTTGACAAGTCACAGTGAGATGTTAGTAGATAAGTCTCCTACAACTATCTTAAAAGCGCAATCTAAATTGCCACTTGCTCCCAATAATAGTGATGACCTTTATATTGACTTGCCACTTGCTCCTAATAATAGTGATGACTTTTATATTGAGTTGCCCATTGAATTAGGTGTCAATTCTCTAAATGAGTTATCAAGTGAAGTGCAGGGAAGTGGTGAATCTCAATGCACAGGTGCAGACACACATGGAGCCACAACCAACATACACTCAATGATTACTCGAAGCAAAGCAATGAAGAACCAAGCAAGTGTTCTTTGTGATCAAAACCAAAGCGAGAGAATACAAGGCAATGTCACTGTTAATTGCATGATGGCTGTAAAACAAACAACAGAGCCCAAAGGATAGAAAAGTGCCCTTAAAATTACTCATTGGAAGGAAACTATGGATGACGAGATTAAAGCTCTTTATGAAAACCAAACATGGGAACTCACGCAAAGACCTTCAAACACAAACATTGTAGGGTGCAAATGGATTTTCAAAACCAAACTAAAGGAAGATGGATCGGTGGAACATTATAAGGCAAGACTAGTTGCTCAAGGATACTCTCAAGTGGAAGGTATAGACTATAATGAAACCTTCAGCGCTGTCATTAAACACACCACAATCAGGTTAGTACTTGTACTTGCTGGATTTAAAAATTGGTCTTTTAGACAGTTAGATGTCAAAAATGCCTTTCTCCATGGCTATCTAAAAGAAGAAGTTTACATGTCCCAACCTCCAGGTTATATACACCCTAACTTTCCTAACCATGTTTGCAAATTAAAAAGGTCTCTATATGGTTTGAGACAAGCTCCTCGAGCTTGGTTTGATCGCTTATCTCAATATCTCATAACTCATGGCTTTGTATTTAGTAGATATGACCCATCTTTATTCATTTTTAAGCAAGATGAGATCATTACATTTATGCTTGTATATGTTGATGATACATATTTACAGGAACTGATACTAATTTCTTGACTCATCTTATAAAGAGACTAAGTATAGAGTTTGCATTAAAGGATTTAGGGTATTTAAAGTTCTTTTTAGGTATTGAAGTTCAGACAACAGCTCAAGGAATTCACGTCACTCAAACAAAATACACAAAAGAAGTGTTGGAAAAGGTCGATATGCTCGAGTCCACTTCCATTGCAACACCTATGTCCACTTCAAACTCAAAAACTTCAAAAGATGATAAGTTAGTTGATCCAACCACATATAGAAGTTTAGTTGGCTCTCTTCAATATCTTACCCTAACTAGACCCGATATTGTTCAAGTTGTTAATAAAGTTTCCCAACATCTTCAACAACCCCAACTTCAACACATGCGAGCAATTAAGAGGATACTTCGTTATCTCAAAGGAACAATGACATATGGTATATCCTTCTCCAAACATAGCTCAAATAACTTATATGCATTCTGTGATGTAGATTGGGGAGGATGTCCAACAACAAAAAGGAGCACCACAAGCTTCTGTGTATTCCTTGGATCAAATTTAATATCCTGGTCATCAAAGAAACAACCTACCTTGTCATGATCTAACTCTGAAGCAGAATATCGAGTAATGGCAAACACAACGTCTAAGTTAACATGGATATCCTTTTTGCTAAGAGACATGCATATTCCTCTTTTAAAACCTCCTCAACTCTTTTGTGATAACATGAGTGCATTGTATATGTCTATAAATCCAGTGTTTCATGCTAGAACTAAACATATTGAACTTGATTACCACTTTGTTCGAGAAAAAGTAGCCATGGGCTTACTAATTACTAGATATGTTCCTTCTCATGATCAACTGGCTGACATCCTCACAAAGCCACTAGCCAAGGTCACCTTCAGAACACTAAGGA